ATATATATATATATATATATATATATATATATATATATATAATAGTAAGATGTTTGGATAATATATACAAAATCATATTCTAATCTAAATTTGTTCACAAAACAAAAACGCAATAATGACACAATGATTTGTTTAAATAATTTTATATAAAAATTATTATAAAAACGACTTTGAAAAAAACTGATAATATATATTATATTAACTAAACGCATATTTTGAAATTTCAAAATCAAATAAATGCAGAAAATACAGAAAATGTATTTTTAAGTCAAACACACTTCATATTAATTTTCCTTATTTTAACTTCTGCACAAGCTGGATTTAGACCACGAGTTAAAATCCTCTTCGCCTTTCTTTTTGCTTTGGGATTTTTCTTCTTTATTAGTTGTAGTGCTTCCATTTACATATAATGAAGTATGAAGAAATTTATTGAGTTAAGTTAACGTGACATCTCCGATACACCCTCCCCATTTATATATATTGTTTTTCCCATTTATATACATTGTTTTGATATCCCACACCAGGCAATGGGGCTCAATATTGGGCTCTCTTTCTGCTAACGACACCCATCTATTCTACCAATTTGATTATTGGCCCGTAGTGTAGAATTCTGATCCATTCTGCCAGGTTTTATATTTTTTGTTGGTCCATGTTCTACTGTTTTTTCCCCCAAAGTCCACTATTCTAAAGTAGTACAAGATAACACATAAATTGCAGCACATTGTATAATTATTGGCCCAGATTAGAGCAATCGAACAAATGCTTATGCGGCCCAAAGTGTGGGCCGTAAGGGTGTTACTGTTTCTTTATCATTGATTAAAAGCAGATGTTATGAAATTAACAAAATTTAATATAAATAACTAATTTTTTTAATATGTATAATTTTGATTTTGTTGTACTTATAATAAAGAACAGAAACATAACTTATAAGCTAGTTTTGTGCCTCGTAAACATTCTTCTCCCTAATAATGTTTCTTTTCTTGAAAGTGGTGTAAATACAAATAACTAAGTAGATTTTCCATAATACTTCGAAAAATTTTCGAGTTCCCATCAATTGGACGAGTGCAGTTCCTAAGTTTCATTTTATTTTAAGGTACTTACAAATCAACTTTCATGGTTGCTTTATGACATTCACTTGTCTTTATTGTAAGTTTCTATTCAAGCACTATATTACTAAGTTCAGCCTAACAAAGTCTAACGAATGTGTACAATCACACCTAAATTCTTACCAAGTCAAGGAATCATCTAAGGCCTACTAAGTCATATTTCAACATGTGTCATATGGTGAATTACTATTTTTTTTATGCATAAAAGTTTAGATAAGTTTTATGAGCATTTATTATAAAAGTATTTACGTATTACTCATCAACAAAATTTTCACATATATACTAAGTTTTCTTATATTAATTTATCTTAATTATTATAAAAGCATTATGATTAATCACCTATAAACTTTTTTAGTTGACATTTAATTTATAATTTACAGACTAATAGTTTTTAAAGAATAAACGAAAGCCATATAAAAATAATCAACTCGTTAACATTTAGCAATGAACAAGTTCATAATTTTTTTCAGCCGTAACCGTTTAAAAATTTATGCAATCATAATTGTTCACAACTGAAACACAAGACCCTTTAAATAACTCCATTTAAACTCTTTCTTTATAAATTGAGACAAAGACATAAAGGACACATCATGTACAAGCATTACGATTGTGTAACTAAATCGTTTTAAGATGTTCTGTTTTCCACCGAAAAAATAGTTGACCATATTTTATCTACTGTGTTATTTGATATGAAATACGTTTGCAGAAATTACACAAATTTAAATTAGAATTCAATGATAGAGGATAGTATGACCGTTCAAGAAAAATATTACAATAAAATTTTCTATTAATAAAAATAAAACATGTATCATTCTTATATTTTTATACTGAATATCAATTTTATTTTTATTAGGCATTACTTGTATTCCTTATTATTTTTTACTGAATAACATTTGAAGAAGAAAAAAAAAACAACGGTCATAACAATAATTATATTATTATTCTTGAATTTCAAAAATCACCAATCAAATTTAAAATTGCAGAATGAGAATGATAAAGGTTTGAACATCATTATTTGGAGAATACCATGGACCACACCTCGGTTCTCAATAGAGAAAACCTTGCTGGCACTCTGTAGTTAACGTTATATGAAAAATTATTAAAATAATTAGCACATAATTTTTTTAATAAGATTATTTTTATTACATATTCTCACAGTACCTTATATATCACTTTTTCAACTATTTTATCCCAGGCTTCCCACTTTTCTTTCTCCCTGGTTGTAAAAATATTTTTAAATGTGAATCAGAAACAACATTATCCTATTTCTATTAATTTGTTTAGATAAAATGATATAAAATTATTTTAATTTAATTTAAAATTCTGAGTTTGAATTTAAAATATACAATGACATTAAAGTCTATAATAATTTTATCTTAATAGAACAATGTTATTTTTAACAAAGAATACAAAAAATATAAAAAAAAAATATTATAATATAATCTAAAGTATGAAATTACCCTATGATCTAACTAAAGCATCATGAGGGTCATCTATTCATGCATGGGAGGGTTAGAAAATCAAGAGTTAAGGCACATAGTTTGAACAATAAAATACACAAGAAGGAGCTTTCCCATTAATGATTATGGAGAGTTGCTGGTTGGCTTAAAATAAGGCAAAGCCACCTCACCTCGTCCAAAACTTTGTTATAACTTTTCAATATTTTAGCATCTCATCAATGTCTACCTATGTGTCTATCTTTCTTCTTTTGCTTTCGGAGGCACACAACGGCACAAGGTATAATAATAAGTGTTGTGTGTTCCCTTTTGGCGAGGATTGTGGAATTTGCTTCCATAATTGTCACTAATTTTGCCTGTGCTTGTGATTCCAAATCATTATAATCATTTGCACTTGCTGGACCCAATCTCATAATTATGTACATCCATGCTATTTTTGAGTCAAAAGTTTTCAAACAAGAAAATTGTTAAGTAATTACCACTCCTTTTTATTATGTGCAGTACTATATATATCTTTACAAACAAAGCAAATCATGTTCTACAAATTTGAAGTTTGAAGATTCAACACATTTTTCTTCTGGCTTCGATGTCTATGTTCAACCAATTAATAAGACATGAATAAGTCGTAGTAGTACATAATCCATGTAGCATGGTGGAAAACTAACGTGGGAGACATTTTAATTAGCTAGGGGACCAGACCGAATTATCATTCATGTTGAAGATCATCATGTGAACGTCTCATGCTCACTTTATATCACTTTCCTCCTATTTAATTTTTAATAGTATTCATATTTGTTCAAAGTTTATATATATATATATATA